GGTGCGCACCGATTCGGATCAGTTGTTTGTCGCTCCACATGTGTGCTACACATGGTCATCAACAGCCATCACGAAGAGTAAATGTTTTTTCTAATATGAAGACCGCCATCCAAAACACGTATGGTACAGATAGAAAATATTATTGTCGCAACCATAACGGAGGTTAACTCTAATCTATCTTTTCTGTGGGAGACGCTAACGTACCCTAATACTAGTGTAACTCCGGGAATGCAGGTCGTTGGGATCATCGCTTACCTCTCTTGGAAGGCCCGGGCGTTGGCGGAACCAAAGCCGCCGGCAGATAGCTTGATCCAGGCTCTCGACTTCCGAGTGACCTTGCAGACAATTGTCTCGTGGGTGCCGATCTCGTTGACCGGAAGGGCCGCGATGTCGTTAGCTGCGTGCAGCAATGCGGGAGTGACAACCTGATGTGCAATTGAGGGTCATCAAGAGGATGAGGGGAAAGACAAAAGAAAGGTGTCATCAAGAGGACGAGGGGAAAGACGAAACCAGAGCCCACAAAGAAAATGCCATGGGAAGTCCTTCAACTTGCTACCGCTCGCCCGCGCTACCGGAGGCATATAATGTGGGCTCTAGTCCTGGAATACGATAACCTGTTCGGGTTGCAGGCACATGCTAGCAGCCTGCGTCGCGTTAACAAATAAACGGGCGCTAGGTCTACAGACAAGTAGGAGTGCACGCAACAATTTCGTCACCTGTCCAAGGAAGTCTTCCTTCAGTCTCTCCGGTCCCAAGAGGTACCCCAAGGTGATGGCCTTGCGGGTGGAAGCTTGGTGCGCCTTGGTAAAGCGCCACATGATGCGGGACATCAGGCCAGTCAGTTCCTGGGAAGGCCGAGTTCACACATATAGTAGGGAAAAGGGGTTAGTTGTGTACGGGACGTAGGAGAGCGTTGCGCGCTGACCAGAAGATTTTGGTAGGCTCGTTTTTGAGTCGTTTACCTCCGACTCGGGGTCGACGTCCATTATCCGCTCGCGGACGCCACGGAGGAGGTCCGCGCCGGTCATCGGGTTGTTCGTGGATGCCTCCTCTTCCATGAGAGGGATGAGGAATTCGGCGATGGCGCTGCGGATCTCTGCGTGTAGTTCCGACCTCGCCGAGACGACTGCTTTCACGAATATGGCTGTGGCAGTGGATGCAGAGAGGACGAAACAGCACATGGGTCATTTGAGTCTACCTCACAACGTTCAACAGTGAAGGCAGACGAAGCGCGACAACACGTACATACAGACGAAGGGGCGGAATGACACGGCCACATAAAGCGCGGGAAATTTCCAGGACATCGCGGACAGACGGACACGTGGCTCTGTGAGAGGTCGAGCGAGCAAGACGTTCTCTGTAAACAGAATTAATATTGTAGTATTAATGTCGGGATTTCGCCGCTGGGTTAGGGTTATATGACAGTGGAGTTGCGCACGTGAAAACAAATATTGAACGGTCTGCAAACAAACGCCAGAATGCGTTACCATGCAGCGACAGGATTGCTGAACCTCAGGGTAGTACACCAACAACTACGGAAACCAGGATCACCGGGGAAGGTGTTCAGGTTTTGCCTCGCTCCCGGCCACGCGTGAGAACCCAACGCGAGGAAAGGGTTTGTCAGAGCGCTGGTGGGCCCCCCGCCGGAAAATTGCATCCTGGCGGGACCGACGAACCCATAGGCGTAAACACTCATGACGTTCGCAGCGACCCCGCGGGCAGTCTTCTCGCCGGGGCCCACTGTCTTCTTGGAGGACTCGCCGCCGAGCATGTTGGCCTGTGATCGAGCAAAGACAGCGAGCGAATGTCTCCTGATGTAGTAAGGCGACGCGCACACTATGTAGTACATGGGCGAGAAAACACAGGAACATGGACGATAGAAAATGTGGCTATCGCGTACAGGCAGGAAGTGTTTGCGCGTGAAGTTTGGGTGGCAAGGTTTCGTCAAATAACATATGGACCGGTGCGAGTAACGCGGACGCCTCCCGTGGGCACAGGGCAACCAGCCCCAGAAGCCGTACACACCTATTAATCAGCGAAGAGGAACATCAAATGCGAGATAAAATGGCGAAATGACAAATCGGGGGTTGAAATCGGCAAAAAAAACCAAGAGAAAACAGGAAGAACCTCACTCAGAAATAAAGACGCAGAGCCCATGCCTCCTGTGCTCAACCCGATGCCAAGGCTACGCAACGATAAAACAGTTACCTCATCCTAGACCACTGCAACTAGGCTCGCGGCCGAAGTCCAAGCACATTTATCTCGTGCATCTTCAAAAAAAAAAAAAAACGGCCGTGTTCGGTGTACAGCAGTAGATTGCTGGACCATCGGTATAATAATGCTGGGGCTGTACCCTAGAGGCAAAACACACCTTACAAGACTAAATGTATCGTAGAAATGACTGGTACAACCCTGGTTGTGTCGACACCCTGGCAGAGGGTTCCTGCCCGTGGACCCTGTGGGGACCGATTACCTAGACAGGTGGTCACAGCGTCCGTACAGGGTCTATTTGCCTGCAGGGTTCACACAGGGGTAGCCGAATGGCTACANGTACCCTAGAGGCAAAACACACCTTACAAGACTAAATGTATTGTAGAAATGACTGGTACACCCCTGGTTGTGTCGACACCCTGGCAGAGGGTTCCTGCCCGTGGACCCTGTGGGGGCCGATTACCTAGACAGGTGGTCAGAGCGTCCGTACAGGGTCTATTTGCCTGCAGGGTTCATTCACACAGGGGTAGCCGAATGGCTAGAGGTGAGCCGATGTACCTCTTGTACCGATGCAATTTCCGGGCAAGACAGCGCTGATCACAGGGATGGCAACCCTGGGGGGACGTGTTCGTGGCTGCAAAGCTACATCGGACACGTGCATTGACTTTTGTTGAGAAGCACGATGACCACTAGACTACTAGTCAGCGCTGACTAATAAAATAGTCTAGTGGTCATTGTGCTTTTCAACAGATACTTCGTTGCCAACGAGGGAAAATGGAAGCCCAATCATTCCGCAAACAGACTCTGAAAGCGGACAGCGCCGTGGAGTGCGCGCGCGTTGCAACGGGAGTGATGCCCAAATCGGCCTTCAGAGTTCACATTCATGAGAGCGACCAAAGGAAGAAGAGTAGTCTCTGAACTAAGTGGGACGCGTCGATGGTTAACCAATCGAAGTACAATATTTTGATAAGAACTTTCGGTACGGCACCGTTATCCATGTCTGTTCACGTTTTCATCACACCCCCTCACACTCAGACTCTTCCGCACGTATTCATTCCGTTTGCAGCCGGCGCAAGTTTGCACAAACCTAGAACAACGCGCACGCAGAGTGGTGAGGGCTTCCTCATCGGCAATACATAAGCGAAGATATGCCTTCAAATCGTCGTTGACCGAAATCAACGAGTCAGCGTGTACGTCGCTCGGCGGGGCCGTTCATAAGTGAAGAGAGGGACATATTGTTTTCGGTTGGTCGTGCTTTGCGCGGACGTGGGAAAACAGTTGTGCTCAAACCAACACGGGTCAATGGATTTGGCTGTGAGTAGGAGGAAAAAACGCGAAATCAATCGCGTTCTCCGGCACATTGAACCTTGTCCCCCAAAGACGATCCGTTCCCACTTGAACCCGGGCGCTAAGGGTGGAATCCTCGTGAGAAACCAACGAGGCGATGGTGAACATCAATATTGCGATATATTGCACACGATTTTGGGAGACTCACAGCTGAATCATGGCAGAGAGTATTCGCGACGCCATCAGCCTTGCAGATGAAAGAATGTCCCCACCTAGACTATGCCATTGCACCTACCGTATACTATCGCTTGCTCCGTTCAGAGCGAATCAATCAACCCACTCACATGGCCAAGGGACACGTGTGTGTGCATCTTTTCGGCCCATCCACTATTGTACCGTTCGATACGGCGTGCTGCCTTCGCACGCATCCGAGAATGAGCACACTCCTCCGCAGACGGAAGAAGCACCGAAAATTCTTTCGAAGCCCAGTCAAACAAATTTGCCGTGTTCACTGACACACAAGTCAAAGGGTTCTGATGGATCATGCACACTTTTTCTCTGTTCTCTCTTTGTTGCAAACACAACGTTGTCCTCCCCACATGCATGCTGAGACGTACAGCTTGTAAAACCGTCCCATCTCCTTCGTGCACATGGCCTGCTGCTGTAGGGGAGTGAAGCTTCGCGAGGGCGCCCTCGAGGGGTCGAAAAACTAAACCGACCCTCTCTTCTCAGCATATGTTGGATGCAGCCCCATTACATATACCTTCATATGGACTGGATAACAGTGGGCAAAATGCATCATATTATTCGTTTTATCACATACGGGGAGGGGGCAGATTCCCTTCGAAACTACGCAAATTGTACCTACCCCCGCGGCACTCAAGTGTGGCACGATGCACAAAAGAACACCGTACGCCCCAACCGCTGCTGCAACGGTCCATGTCTCCGAACGCGGGGGTCAAGAACCTCTTACAGAGCGCGCAAACCACCACCCTCGGCAACAATGTGCCCCTACTCTGAGCCGTGCAACCGGCTGGATATCTCACAACAGACTACGGGCTGGCAGACCAATTGATCGTTGAGGGGCGAAGCAGGGAGTAGTGGGTACAACACCTTGAGCTGTGTTGCAAAATTGGTGGGCGCGTCTCAAACAAAAATCCTCAACAGAATCAGTGTTCAATATTGTCGCCAGACCAAAATGCCCAGCCACAACCAGGCTACAGCTTTAAGTCCGAAGCTGGGGGGAGCACACATCCACGCTCTGAGGTTCTTAGGGGGCAGCAGACCTACTTCAGGTAATGATAACAACACACCTTACCCCCCTACAGGAGACGACGGGCTTCCACTTTTGGTCAATACTTGGGGGAGACGTACAGTCATGTTGCGAGATGACTTGAAGAGGCAATCTGCCTGCCAACAGGGACGATGGACTCCGATATACAACTCTCGAAACAAAAAGCCACACAAAACAATGAGATACGCCCCACAACGAAAGAGGGACTGCCCACTAACGATGAAAAGCAACGGGGTCTGAATTATCTCTGCTTGAGAAATTCGCAAACGCCGGTCCGATACCGAGTTTAGAGATACCAGAAGATGATCGAACGACGCCGCCCGCCAAGCCCATAACCGTCCCAACGCCATTCTACCTTCGGCGCGTCTGAGTTCTCGCCAAAACCACGCCTTCAAAACCAGGGGTACGGCACAGTACATCCGTCCTGAGAGGGCAGGGCAGCCACTAGAATTATAGCCTAAGCGATCCACGAATATCGAGAACATGGTTCCGGTGGCTTCACTAGAAATCTTGCGCGGTGCAGGCGTCAACGTCAACCGGTGATGAGCGACGAGTCCCCCAGTCCTTCTCTCAACACCACTGGCTCCGCGCCTACGGCGTCCACTACCGTGCTGAAACCCCCGACCTGACGGCAAGAAAAATAATTGTGGAGTGATTTCGTCTAGTAGGGAAGGGCACCGCCGGGAGGGGGCGATCATTCGCTTCGCGCTAGCAGCGCCGTGTGAAGTCAATGGTGGGGGCGATGACATGGTCGCAACTGGCATTGCCGGTGGGATAAATGTGGGTGAGTCTTGTCACGATACGGCAATGGGGGCAAGGGTTGCGCGTGTGTTCGAAAGTGGAAGGCGGGAGAATAGGCGTCGTCGTTGCCGCCGCCTACTTGCCGCGGAATCACCGTCCCGAACCGGCAAGCAGCCACACAAGTGTGTCAGGGAGTGCAGTGCGTCGGACTTCGCAAATAAAAACGGGTCGACATTTCTTCAATCTACAACGTGGGTCACGTGGGTCACATGCGATTGGAGCTAATGAACACTGACCGTTGACACCTCCGCACAGCTGCGTCGTGCACATTTTACACCCTCGCGAGGTCATTTCAAATCTCTCGCCCGAGTGACCGAATTCCTCAGAGCCCCTAACCCGCGGCCCTTCCAGATGTAGTGCACTTCTTACCAAGTGGGATGATGACGGTCAAAAGTCGCAACGAATGCCTCGGAGAGACCTTTGCCGACTTCACGCACGTAACCGTGTGGCAAGAGAAGCAACGACAAACGCAGCAATCACAACCAATGACCACATCTCAATAACCACGTCTCATGGCCATGGCGCCATATAGTCGGGTGGCTCCCTCAGGCAAGTTACACTAGTTCGGGTGCCGCAATATCATATTGCGGGTGAAAACGGACAGATGGAAGAATCAACGTGGTCCACCAAATCGAGTGCTCGCCATAGTGCCGCAGGTGAAACCGCTCGGCACACACACCAGCACACTAGAGGGGCACCCGACTGTACACCATACATACCTCGAGGGGTCCTGCGTCCACGACGAAGTCTACGGCGTGCCCCCACGCCGCCTCGATCGCGGCAGGGTCCCCAGACACAGCGGCGTCGTCACCCCAGGCACCTCGTGACACTCTCTCTCCCTCAACGTCGTCATCGTCATCGTCGATGTCGTAGTCGAGCTCCGAGGCGCTTCCCTCTCCCCAATCGCCATCGCCCGGGACCCCCGACGGTACGCTGCCGCATAGCAGTGGCCTGGTAGTGGGAGGTGAGGGGGGGGGG